CTAATCAGTTGACGGGCCGTGAGAGAATATCGCCACAAAAAGATACGAAAGCTGAGTTTCCTTTACATATTTCGGCTTTATATGGGTCTACACCTTGCCTGCTTATAAATGAAACTGTTGTTCAATTAAGTGTCAGTCAAACTCGGTATGATCTTTACTTGCAAATCCAAATGCAAAGGTTTATTTCGCAGTAGAAAAGCGTGTAAACATTATCGAACAACGCAATGTAAATTGGCTAATGTGAAACCACGTTTCTGTCACTTTATTTACCATGTATTTATCTCAATTGCACACTCTTGTGAAATTAGCCTCAAACAATTAGTTGCGACCTTTAACAGACTCAACAAGCCAGTATGAAAATGTGTTAAGAGAAGCTGAGCTCTACATGTTCTATTTCTTTTTTTCATATTGCCCTTGCATGTGTTAACATTCCATTTCTTTTTTGTTACAGGTAACTTCCAGACATGACTAGGAGATAATTACTTTTCTAGAGAGCAATTCTTTGATACTGTCAGTTATTACTGACTTACTTTTTGAGTTAAAGACAAAGAACACAGACACTGGTAATGACACAAAAACATTAATCTCTGGCAAGCCTACAAAACAAGAAAGAGGAACTCAGACTCCTTATCAAAATGTGAAACAAGATAAAAACAGCTTTTCTAACGTAGGGAAAATTGCGTTAGAGAGATTTGTAATTGCAACGTTATATTCAAGCACATTGCATTGTCAAACATCATAATTTACTGAATAATGAACAGTGATTTTGGGGCTTAGCTCAGTTTGTAATGAACTTTGAAAGATATTCTATAACCTTGTATTTTTAAAAGCTTTCATGGAACATAGATGCATTTTATTATACAATGAAAATAGTCTCTGTCTGTCTTTTTACTGATTTCAGTCAATTCCATTTTATTCGCAATGTGAAGTGGGAATCCTATTAAAGACTCATTAAAAGGGGTGAGGAGTTTTTAGCATCCCCCAACAGGTCATCTCCACGATGACGCTGTTTTATTACTTCGGCAGAATCCCTCAGGGTTTTACTTTCTTGTGAAAATTAGAGCTTTTGTTATTTAAACTTCGCTGGGACAACCAAATCTATGAAAATGAAAGGAATAGTAATGACGTCATCGTGTAACCGTACATCAAAAGATAAGCACTGTGATCTGTTTAGTTTTTATTTTTTTAGCCACGCTTAAAATATCTGTAGATTCAAGGAATTATAACCTGTGCGTTGAGAGCATGCCAGAGACCGATTTTGGCATGCCCGGCATGACCCAGATTATGGCACGCCCGGCATTCCAGAGAATTTAGCATGCCGGGCATGTCAGAAAATTTGGCATGCCCGGCATGCCGGAGATTTTGCTGGGTATGAATTAATTATTACTAGAACCTAGGCTTCTCGCGGCCTGGGTGAGAAGGTCACAGAACCTCAAATTATGCTTACAGGGCATGCGAAATTCTGTTGCATGCCAATTTCAATGCAAAACCACTCTGGGGCCACCCCCTCTATTACCAGTGAGCAAATCATTGACGATAGGCATGGGAAAAATCCTTGCATGCTAACCAACATTGAAAACGTAGCAGAAATGTCATCAATTGCTGAGTCATGCCTTACGGGAGGCTTTAAGGTACAGAATTTCCTGACATGGATGAGGGAATTTTCCGTAAACAGCATGTGATCATGCCGGCTAGGACGTATTGCCTCCGTATTGCCCCTTTTTACAGCTAGCTAGGCTCATTTTTAGGTTCCATGGCCTGAAATGACGAAAAATTCATGCCCTAAATGTAAAAAGTCCAAAAACGTCCTCGAAATTTTAGTTTCCAAGCCGTTAAAATTACTGTATCATCCGCATAAGGTGATGATTAAGGTTGACTGAAGAGGCGTATGCACATCATTAAAATGGATAGTAAACAATAGTGCCGCGGCAGAATCGCATCCGGTTATTGGCAATAGCTTTTCTTCCCTTTTTTTTATTTCTCTTTTTCTTCTGAGATTATCGGACCCAAATTACCTGTCTTTTGGTCCTTAATTATGTTTATGAGCTATCTGATGTGGCTTTTGATGGTCAACATTTAAATCAGCGGAAAAAACGACATGAATAAATTTTCTAAATTACAAAATTCCTCCCAGTGGTTTCCGCGATGAATCAAATAGCTCGCAACACCTTTATTTAAAGGTATTTGTGCCTCTTTCGTAAGGAAACTAAAAAAAGATTGTAATAATAATAATAACAGTTAATAATAATAACAATTTATTTATATAGCGCTTGTGAAAGAACGCAAATTCCTTTTTTGGTGAAATTTCACTGCTTTTGCGTAGTAATCAGTCTACATGCAGCTGCCTTAAATTAACCTTATTTTATTAAGAGCCCATAAGCGCTTCACATTAATAAAAAAATGAAAATTGCCTTAAAAAAATAAAATATAACTTAAATAAAATCTCAAAATCTTGGGACCAATTTCTAACATACTATATAAAGGTTTGCCTTAGTTTTACTAAAAAATAACCCTTTTTGAAAAGAAACGTGTTCATGGCTTTCTTAAAACTACCTACAGAAACGCACACTCTTAGCTCCCGTGGAAGGGCATTCCAAAGCTGAGGGGCACATATAGAAAATGCCCTGAACCCGTACGATTTCAAATTATAAGATTGCGTCTTCAGAAGCTGCATGTTGCCTGATCTAAGGCCACGGCAAGGTCTATAAAGGTCTACTAGATCCTGGAGATAAACAGGTCCTATACCATTCACCATTTTATATGTAAATAACAAGATCTTAAATTCTTCGCGCTGCTCAACTGGCAACCAATGAAGCTCCATAGGTACTGGCGATATGTGATCACGCTACCTAGACAATGTAACTAGCCTAGCGGCAGAGTTCAACACGTATTGCAGGCGCTGGATCTTATACTTAGGAAGGCCATACAAGAGTGCGTTAGTTATCTAACTTAATATAATGTGTTCTGACTTGTAACCGGCGTTCGGGCTCTTACCATATAACGTAAGCTACCCCATATAAGCCCTGGGCTTCGTAAAGGCTAAGTTTTGCCTACAACTATCGCCGGGGCGCGACTAGCGTACGTCATGACTTTCGACCACCGACACGCGCACAATTTTCACTTACGACATCCACTGCTGTGGCGCACGAATGTCGTTGGTCTAATTTACTCGACATGATCAGTCGTGAAGTCATGACGCATGCTGGTCGCGATCGATAGTCGTCGTAAGCAAAAGTTGTATCGTCGGCCTTCAGGTGGTTCAAGAGGGCTTATAAACGGATGGGTTCACTCCGAGAGAGTTCATAAATGGAATCGAAAAAACGCCTCGAAAATAAGCTGAGGCCGTGCTGATCAAAATATGAATTTATTTATTGTGAACTGGTTTTCATAATAAAGCTTCAAAACTCTAAATCGAATTTACCTCAATACAACTTGAAGGGGGGCGAGGGGTCTTAAATACCCGTTTTTGTTTACCGAACCTGAGAAGCTTTTAAGAGGGTGTGTGGGAGAGGCCTATTTTAGTTGCACTGTTATTGGACGTATTTGTCGTAGCCTATCGATCAATCAAAGTCACAGACACACGGATGACGTTACGATCAAATGTTATTATCCAGCATCGCGCGTTGTTTTGAAACAGTTTGCGAAATTATTATTGCTAGTAAAGGGGTTGTTTAAAGGTCAGAGAAAGGAGAAACAGAGACGAAAAGTGTCTTGACCACTTGAAAATACCCTAACATAAATAAATCTGCAAAACAGCTGTCCATGTAAACGCTTCAACGGACTCTCAGTTTCGAAAAAAACAAAAAAACGACTTTTCTACTACTTAGGTAAGGGTGAGTGGAAGTCTTTGAAACAGTTCAGGGTAAGCTTTATGTCTGAAAAGACGATAAAGAAGAAGAGGGAAAGAGGGAAAAAATGCCTTTATTGGCACAAACTCTCAAACAATCAAGTGCAACGGAGGTAAGTCGGCTGTTGTTTTTCTTTCCTGCTTTTGTATAAAACAAATAAGTTCCATCAGGAGGTTCCATGGATGTTGCCGTGTGTCTCTTTAGCAGGTAAGAAAACCATTAACACACACAGGCGTGCCTCGTGTGCCCCTTTTTTTGTTCTTACCACATCTGACATCATACTTGATTATATCAAAATTAATAGTCTATAGTATGATTTTTTGGTGGCTAAGAATATTTTATTGTGTAGAAGAACGTTTCTCCGCCTTTAAATAATTTGCTTCAGAACTTTTATACACAACTTAAAAGACTTCAGAGACATATTCGTTGGTTAAGACTGCTTTTATTTCTTATGTCGTTATGTCGTTCCACACATTTAAGGTTAACTTTGCCAGGCGATTCAAGAGATAAGATTTGAGTTGAAGCTAAATAAATAATAGTGCAATAATTACAAGTAAAGGACAGGCGTTTCATAGCTTCCCATTACAAGTAATAATACATAACTCTAAAGATTCTATTTTACATTGAACTTACACTAATAAATCCAAAATTAGACTTATGACCTCAAACCACATGGATTCCGCAAGACCGCATAAAAATGGATATAGAACTGATCTTCACATTTCCCCCAAGTGTGGACCAAATGGGTTCACGATCGATCCATTGTCGGTTATTTTAAAAACGCAAAATCTGTTTTGGAATTTATGATGTTCACATTTGGATTTTAACCAAACTCTTTTCTTGTACAGACTATGGTCATTTAAATTCAAACAATCAGGGGTTAGTTTCTATGATGCATTTCTAAATTTTTTTAATTCTCTTACACTCTTTGGGGTATTTCGTTCAAAGCAAAAAGCTGCTATAGATTTGTACGCTTAAATCGACCATAAGTCCTAAACCTACATGATCTAGAACTACTTTAACCGCGAGCAATCTACTTTTGTAAGGGACGACTCTTAAATTAGACTATGTTTTTAACCAAACCAACTGGCGTAATGTTATGAACTAGAAAGTTTTTTCCTCAGGCCGCAGCCTTAAGTTGGTAGTTCTATTCTAAACGTCGACTGAAATCAAAGAAACAGCTCTGTGCATGCCGAGGCCGCTGTCGCCACCTATTTCACCGGTTTTGGACTCTTGCACTTGATAGTAGGCTTTAGTCTCGTCCAACTGCTTCAGATCAAGGTATTCTACTTGCTCAGTCATGGTTCGTTCCAGCCTTCCAACCAGCTCCTGAAAACTTGGTCGTTCATCCGGGTTCTGTTTCCAGCACTCCATCATAAAAGCGTAACTAACAGATAACAAAAACACATTTTTTAACCCTCAGATGAACAAGGATGGGATGGATACTAAACCCATAGTGTTTATTTATTTTTTTAGGTTTTTGTTTAAAGCCCGTTTTTACGCAATTGGGTGGCAATCCGTTCTATTTAGCAAACCCGATACCCGTTTCTAGCCAATTTTTCTTTTTCCCGAACTGTGAATTCATTTAATTTGGACAAGCGGGAAAGAGGGTTACAAGACCTTTTCTGATGAAATCTAATTTGTTAGGTTCTTGGTCAGGTGGGAAGATTATTTCGTCATAAACGGAAAAATATTTTGAATGAATAATATTTTTTGTTACTAGTTAATAATATGATGCCTGGGAATTCTAATGGCTTACAAGTTGTCCGAGCACAGGTCAGGTTTTTCCAATAGGTGCCCCGTGCTGAGGAGACTCATGACCTCAGCGTTGTTAAGCAGTGGATAGGGTGAACCTCCTGCAATAAAATTGAAAAGGGTCTCTCGATTATGATTGTACTTTTAACACTAATTCCGAGTCTGGAGTATTTTTTTTTTTTTTTAATGAATAAGCAGAGATCCAAGGACTAAACTGATTATTAGATACTGATAGAGACTATTCTGCCGCTTTAATGGACGATTACGATGCTTACCTTCTTAGGCTTACAAAAGTTACAGAACTTTCATCTTGAAAAGTCACTAAATTTAACTGAAAGTTTATGAATAATGAAGGAACCTGTTCAGTTTCCTTACCAGCCCCTTTCAGGTAGAATTTCTTCAAAAAACTCGCCAGTTATTCAGCGGTTGTAGCTTATTGGCCCAATACGCTTTTTTATCGTTGCACGATTGAACTCAACCATCCTGGCCTGGGTTACAGGACAATTGATGAATTACGTTCAATGTGAAAACGCTGTACTGACCATTTTCTTGTTTGATTATACACTTGTTAAGCTAGACGGAGCATAAGTAGCTTGAAGGTACTGAGAGGTTCTAGTAGTTGGGGAGAGTAAAGGAGGGTATAAAGCACGAGGAGAATGGGGAAAAACGCACCGCTCGGTCCCCAACCCCCTCCCTCCCTTTCTAAAGAAAAAGCTACGCAGGCGAAAAAGTAAGTAGAAGTTGGAATTTTACCTAAAGTTGCAATTTCCCACATAACGATTCCATATGACCACCTAAAATAAAAATAAAAACAAAAGATAAAACAAAAGAACATAAATAAGCCTAAAATGTTGCCTTCTGCGCATAAAACTTAGAGCATGAAAAACGCTTCCTAAGACTAGTGAGTATTGCTGCTGTATATGGTTTAGGACAAATCATGGCCTACATGACAATAGTTTTATTTTGTTTAAATTTTGTCTAGAGGGAATGAAATCGAATGAAGCCATAACGGGTTGATCTTGACAAATTTTATAATGAGAGAAATGTTTTGAAACATTTTCTTTTGAAAAGTAACCATTACGGGGGAAACAATTCTTAAGAAGCCTAAATTATGTTTATACCATATACACATAAAAAGCCTCAAGCAGCGACGCACACTCAAATTAACGGAATTTTAAGGTTTCTTGCACACGTACAATCGGTGTTATACCCAGTCGGCTGTATTATATGTCAAAAATAGCACATACACGTCGCTTTTGGAGGTGAAGATCTGTTCATAAATCGCCTCTGGTGCCATCCACTTGATAGGCAGTTTCTTTTGCTTCTTAACTTCATACAGCTCATGATACACTTCGCGCATCAAACCAAAGTCTCCAATCTTGAGTTTTTTACCGTGCCCAACAAGAATGTTTCTTGCAGCAAGATCCCTGTGAACTAGGCCCTTCTCTGAGAGGTAGCTCTGAAAAGTGTAAAGCCAGTTAAGTGAATGAGATAAGAAATTAACATATAAGTTTGCTAGTAATTAAGTTTAGTAAGTAAAGGTTTTAAAGAATTGGCTCTAAAAAGGAAAAAAGAAAACGAAAGAAAAAGAAGATGGAAATTAACCAATTTTTATATTGATGTAAACATTGCACAAACAAACGGATAATAAAATCTAATTTTATCTGGTGCCGAAATCTATTCATTTTCTGCAACATGTACTTATTCTCGTTAAATTCATCTTTAAATTAAAACTTTACACCAGATGTAAAATCAGAACCTCTACTGGCGGCTACACTGTAACCGGTCATGGTTTCCCAGAGACACACAAAAAAATCTAAATAAGCCCACCATTCCTCGTGCTATCTGCCATGCAAAGGACATCGCGTCAGATGGATGAAATGTCTCACAATCGTTATCACACTCTTTCTCATCTGTCTTTGGTGCAGCATTCTCTTCCTGGATCGACGACCAAAATACTGTCATTGGGATTTTGCATTGATCGTCATCGTCAAAATCACATTCTTCTCCTTGCTCTTTCTTACCGTCTTGAATACTCGAAGGTCCCCCACTTGCTTCGGAGTTATTTGGTGTGTCTTCAACTCGCTCTGTATCCTAAATAATTCACGTGATAAATTTGCAGATATCGTAAATCCTCTATTAAGCTCCCCTCTCTTATAAGCCCCCCAGTATACAAGGGAACAAAATAAATACCCCCTCCCCTTCCTATTAGGTCTCTCCTTCTTCTCCCTTATTATTCCTCATATCAAAATTAATAAGTGATAAACTGAATAGGCACTTCATGAGGACTGATCCGGTATGACGTATTATTCAAGTGTTGAAAGTTCTGATTTGCTTGCTTGCCCTTCGCCTCGAGACCTCCAAATCACATACTTGAGATTTTCCATTTTGCGTCTCTATTTAAGCCCTCCTAAACGGCTTCCTAGCGGGCAGGAGATCAAAAGATAATATAGCGTAAATTACTTCAGTGATGATATTTATAAGCGAAACAATATCAATAATTTTGTATGCTGCATTGCTAAACCAAAATTATTAATTCAACGCTAACTTTGGAAGTGTGTTGAACATTTTACGGACCTGCAGATGACCCGAGATGTCTGAAAAGAGAAAAAGATTTTTTGAGGAGGAAGGAAGCTGCTATTGTTTCGTCCTGAACTTAAAAAAAAAAAATTATTTACCTCGGCGTCATTTGGTGGGGAAAATACGATCAAGGGTATTTTGCAATCATCCTCACTGTCAAAATCAGCTTCCTCTTGTTGCATCATGTCAACGATGCAAAGCTCAGCATTTATCCCTGGCAAGTTGCTTGTTTCCGCAACTTCCTAGATAATATATAACATCAATTAAACATTCACAAACCAAACTGAGTGCCCCACAGTCTATGTCAACGCGAGTTTTACTTTTTAATTTTGTCTATGCCTAAACTAAAATTAAACCCACTTTTTTATCCCTCATTGTTCAATTTCTCATACCTAAAGACCTCTTATCAATAGATCAAGCGACTCTCTTAATGGAAAGGAAAACAGCATGAATATAATCAGTTTATTAAAGCTTTTGACAACACAAGAATTGCATTAGGAAAAAGTCGGACCAAACTCTTTCAAGTTGCAACCATTTCTTATCTGGTCATAGAAAAACCAAAAGGCATACTCTTAAAGTTCAGAGAGATAGTTCGGTATTAGCGAGATGGGGCTTTGGTAGGAGCATTTGTGTCCCATCATTATGGCCCAGTGTCGAATTCCAGGGGCGACGACATACGTGAATTCAGTTTGTTGTTGGTTCTCACCTTTGTTCCAAAAGGTTTTTCTCCGGATACTCCGGTTTTCCCCTCTGCTCAAAAACCATCATTTCTAAATCCTTAATTCGATCCGGATCCGGAATGGTAAACGAATTCGAACCACTCTGTGAATGTGTTACCCCAAAATCGTTGTATACTAATTATAAGTTAATTTGCAAGCCTCACGATTCATTAAGCACCTTTTTGAACCCTATTCAGACGAGGATTTTTCTTCGCTTTCTGTGGCGGACTAGGGAGCTTTGAAGTCCCGCTAGTCTTTCAAAAAAGTCGTTCGTCTGATTAAATATGGCGCACGAAGGATTTTCATACTTGATGTGCGCCAGTTTTAGCGAGCCAAAAACGAGTCGCTGCGCTTAGACCAATCAGAGAGGGGGATAAAGTGGTCACTCACAAGTAATTTAAAGCGCACTGAAACGTGAATTGCGGTTGAAATTCCATCATAGGGGCGATTGCAAAAGCGATATTATATAATAAAAGATGCTCTCGAGGCCAAGGGGATATTAGGAATATGCGTGACTATCAGAGGAAAGTAATCGAAACGTATCCGTCGGGTAGAGATGTTTTTGTCTCTGCTCTAACTGAAGCTGGGTAAAGTCTAACTGTTGAGCTGCCTCCATACGCTTTCTGATACGCTTTCGATCGCTTATTTTGACTATATGGCGGGGATTGCAATGGGATTCGTCTCCTCGCCGATATCACTATGTGAAGAGCGCGCGCGGCATCTTATTGAGGTTTATCCCTCCTGTCTCCTCTGCAATGCCCTTCCTCGCCGATTCGAAGCTTTCCCTCACTTCGTGAAGCTTCCGAACAAGGGTTTCATTCTTGTCGACACATTTACGGCACAAAATATTCGTTAAAAAACCTTCACTAAAGATCTCCTTTCCAAGTATCGACTTGAGATGAAAACAAGCTTTGTTTTTTCCCGCCCTTCTGAGGTCGTCTTCGTTTGTGACAATGCAACTTACGCACAAAGTTAACAAATTTGCCCATTCCATGTAGGAGAAACATCTGCACGTTAGATTGTTTTTGTCGGAGTGGAATCAGTGAAGTCAAGGACTCCCAAATGTAACCAGAAACCCCGAATACGAGTCAAGCCATTCCCTATTTTGGCGCGAAGCGCAAATAAAAACCTTAGTTCCATTCACGCGAGACAAATCAACCTCCCGCAACTTCGTCGCTCGCTCCGCTTGCTTAGAAACTCTCGTGAGGTCGACTTGTGGCAAGTCTAAGCCCCCCCCCCCTTTCCCCGCCTCCCCTCCCACCCTTCTATAACTTCAAAACTGCTCATGATACGCGGACCAAAATAGCACAGAATAATGTACTCTTTTTTTCCAACATCTCAGAGCTAACTTTGATGGACATATTGACGGAATTTGATGTCATTATGACGTCATATTGTCGAATTTTTTGACAGAATGCAAATTGCATCAATTTTTCCCCTCCAAGGGAAAAATACCTGAATAGAGAGTAAAGCGTGTATTGCATTTAATAGTTATTATATATTTCATAAGATATTACTAAATTAAGTGTAATACTATTATTCAATAAGTAAAAATGGAAATAAATCCTTTTGTGCAGGAAAAAAGCTTATTGCAGAAAAATGGCTGTCAAAACTTGTTTTCATGGTAAGGTAAATATTGATGAACACGTCATCACGACGACTTTAAAATATTCCCAGATAATTTTAAGGAGAAATCACCAAGATTTGGTGGTCATACATGTAGCTTTAATGGTTTTGAAGTGACCCATTTTTTTAGCGAGCTCTCCCCCGGTCAATATATACGAAATATCTGGCCCTGAGGTAAATAGTAAACCTTGCAAAAAGCCAAAGATAATTTTAAGGAGAAATCACCAAGATCTGGTGGTCATACATGTAGCTTAAACGGTTACTCATTTTTTTAGCGAGTTCTCCCCCGGTCTGAATAGGGTTAACAAAACAGTTTGAGTAATGATATTCACTGATATAAACGTCATGATTTTTTTCGAAATTGTATTCGCTTGAGATAATATATGAAGATTTCACATGTTGGCAATCAGTTTTTGATGTCCTTCTATGGAAATGCTAGAAGGGCTCAAACGTCAGCTCTTTTGATCTGTTTAAATGTTCGTGTTTTGTACAGTGTGTTGTACAGTATTACTTGAGGATCTTTCTATTGATTTGGATTAGTTTTGGCCTTATGCTTTCTAGCTTTTTAAAACGTTTTTGACGTAATCAAAAGCGTGTTAATTGGAGTCATATTTTGCATACTGTATGCTCAGTAACTTTCATGACCTTAACTCTCAGAGAAAACGTGTAGTCCCAAATAGAAAAAAGTGACTGGCGGATGGTTTGAATAGGGTTAGGCTTACTGGATCCTTTAAAGATGGAAAAACCTTGAAATGTACCTGATTTGATGCCGAAGATACCAGCATGGGGATTTTGCATTCCTCTTCACGATAAAAACCACCGCCTGTTTGCTCCATCACATCACAAGCAGAACGCGTTTTCACTGTCGGCACTCCCAAGGTAACTGTTTTCTTTTCAGTTGACACGTCATTCTGAATGGTTCAGTCATAAAGTATTACTTATGATAGAAAGGTGGTTGTTTAAAAACAAGTAAAGGTTGTTTTTTAATGGTATTACGCAGATAAAGTGAACTCCTAGCATTTCCTTCTAAAACATGACTTTTAAACCTAAAAAAAATCTTAATTTCAAGTTCTCCCAAAATTCTTATATATGGATTGATATCAAAAACCAGACAATCTCACAATTTCCATAAGGGGCTAGCAGCTAGTCGATAGGTGTGTTTGGTATATTTTCTATAGTTTTTAAAAATAGATTGTTTTCTTTGTAAGGTTCAAAAAGTGGTATATGTTTCCTTCAATAAACATTTGCATGTACTATTTGCAATTATAATTCTTGTAACACATTAAATACAAGAGTTGTTTGGTTACTTTAATTGAAACCAATGTTTTGACTGTTTAGGAAGTAATTCTTATCCTTAACTTATTGGAGCTAACCAAAAAGAAAAAATTATAAAGAAAATTTTAAATATTTAACAATATTAGCTTTATTTCAAAATAGAAAGTTCATAGAAAGAATTATAAGTCATGTTTCAAGTAGTTGCCATGTACCTGATCGCCAATCACGTTCGTGTTCCACGTTGGTGTCCCAGCATACAGCTCTGTGTCTTTAGCAGCCCCTGGTGTGACTTTTAGCATAGAACTGCTAATCTAATCAACCCGACATAAAAAAATGAATAAAACAAAACATCGTGGATCCTGATTTGATCTGGCTTACTATATATATATATATATATATATATATATATATATACGAAATATCTGGCCTTGAGGTAAATAGTTAACCTTGCAAAAAGCCAGAGAAGAAGGCGGGCAACTTTCATTTCTGGAACTTTTTCTCCAACAAGTTCTGTATTTACTCTCATTTTACTCTCTAACTATTTTAACTCGCTAACAATCTTGATCTTCTCTCAGCCCTTTGCTGTATCCTTCAAGAACATCCATTATAACATTTTTTTTGGTTAATCTTAAAATCAGGATGTCTCTTCCTAAGTTCGATTCTCCCGGTTGCGTGCTTCATGGTTTTACTCCCTTCCGTATCTGTCCTATTTCTCCAACTCGGGCACGCCATCTCAATTACAGTATGTAGATCTCTTTCATCTTCTTGTCTCCGGGCGAGATTTAGTCGCTATTTATAGAACAATTCCACGTTATTTCTGCATCTTTATTGCCATAGAAACTGCGAGCCTGCTGTCTCAGTGGAAGTGTCTTCTCACTCAATTGATGGGCTATGAGTAACTCATTTAAAACTCTTATGTCAGTAAAGGTATGGTTTTTCTGCTAGCTCTGGACAACCAGATAGAATATGTTTCACTGTTTCGTTGAACTCCTGACAATTTCTGCATTTTTTCTCTGTCGCGTAGCTTATCTTTTCCTCCCGTACCCTTGTTCTAGTGAGGTTGCTGATAAAATTATATTTCTTTCAGTGCGGATATCGTGTAGAGTGGGGCGGATTTCCATTTGTTGCTCCAATTAAAGCACTCTCAGACTGATAGTTCAACTGTTTCATCACAGAGTGGAGACTAGCCTACGAGCAAGCTCTCCATTGGGGAATATTGTAAAAAGTAGACGCGCGAGAGGCGCGCGAGAAGAGATGCTAAGGCCGGAGGCAGGGGAGAGAAAGGCCCCTCTTCCCCTCGCTTCGCTCGCCCAAATAAGATAGCTTGCTCTCAGGTTAAGTGGAAACACAATGTTCGCCTGCCAGACGCTTCCTTTGATCTCCACTTTTGTCTTACATCATCCAAGATCCTTTTGGCCAGCAACATTTTTGCGCTGTGACGTCTGAGGCAGTGTAAGTTCTCCGTTCTTTTGTTTCAAATGAAAGTTTGGGATCATCGGTGGTCACTTAAAGTTCATCCTTATTCATGTCCATAGCACATCTCTTAGCATCTAAGCATTGATATTCAGCTTTCTACCTCCTTACCTTCTTGGAATGGCACAACGGCCTGCAATTTCGGATCTTTAGATGTGATGATTCTTAAAGTTGACTTGTTCTTGGTTTCTTTGTGGATCGATGTTTGTCATTTCCTTGAGCCCGCGGCCACCAACTGAACGCGATGCGTAGAGCAAGGCGTTAAGGTGTAGGCGATGTCTCGCTTCCCTCAGTTAAGAAACGTTTGATTGTCAAATCAACCTCACTAAGGTCTTCGTGAGAGAAGTAAAGCACTGGCATAAAAAACGTGAGTACCGGCAAGACAAATATGTTGATGGCGTTTTATGCGACACTTGTCATTATTTATTTTGATGCTTTGATACTGTTACATTGAATGTTAGCAGTAAATAAGGTTTCTCTAAAGTGTATTACAATACTTTGATTACGTTTTCGTCGCCATGCGTTGGTCTTTCTTTATGAATATGCGATTAAGAAACATTTCATACACCACACTGGTTTGAAATCGTTTCCAAACACCTGTGTTTTTCAACTCGTTTTTCATTCGGTTTCTCAATTCATCCACCTGACCAGAATGAGGCGTTCTGGTCGGACGACAACATCATGAATATTTCAGAATGAGTTTGGGAATTACTGTTTGAGTTTTTTAATAAATTCTGTTAGGTCTTCAGCAAAAAGAGTCTTACATTTAGCGCTGATTTGTTTCCGCCTTTTCACGCGTCTTTTCGTCATCTTTGATTGCTGTTGTATAGCCTCGTGTTCTCCCGAAGCTTCTGATAAAAGCTGTCTCCCTGCAAAATTTTCCTTTCCACATTTCACATTCCTTGGCCTTTGCTTTCGTCCCCAAGGGGTTCTTGATAGTCATCGTTCACATTTCGCCAAGCAACGGCAACTGAATAGGTGATACAATTTAATTTCCATAGCTTTTCTTCAGGTTCCATTTCAGTACAGCCTACCTTTTTAGAAATTAGCCTGTCTGGTACTTAATTTAAGATCTTTTGTTCTTTAGTTGCTGGAACATTCCTCGCTTTTTTGACCACTGGCGTTAGTTGAAGTCCCATCTATCATCATAGATCTCATTTTACACTTGAATTCCATCGCGTTGTTGAACAGGATTAAATGAATTTCTGATTATCCACTGTATTCTTCCGTCGTTGATAGCCCTGTTGTTCTAGGCATTCTTGATTTGTGAAGTTCCTTTCGCCCTCAATAGCAGTGGATTAATTTGCATTCTCTCTCCCAGATTCACTTTCTTGAACAGGATTGCTGTTTATTTCATACATGCTGAGTGATTCTGTTTGAGTCAGCCTGAGTGAAAACATGGTTCGCGCCTTTATTCAACCAATCAGAAAAGCGAAACGGCTTTTTCACATGTGAGTAGAACGTTTCGACCAATCACAGCGCACCCATCAAAAGCAACCGTGTGTTCGGTAGCTTTGTGTTTTCATTAAAGGTTTTATTCTGGCAGCTTTGTCAAACAGTTAAAACGTTTAGATTTTTGGCTTGGATAATATCTCAAGAATATCTCAGAAGAAGCTAAATAATGGCTGAAGGAGAAATCCTTCGCTTTCCTGCTTTGCAGAAATCCGTTAACCAATTTATCGAGGAACAGAAAAACAAACAAACGTTGTCGAAAGCTAGACGAAATGTTGGCTTGCTCTCCGAGTTTCTGAAATCCAAGCAAGAAAAGCAGAAAAATAGAAGAGATTCAATCACAAACTGAGTGAGTTTATACTTACTGTTACTGTTTATAGTAACTGTTTCTACTGTACTGCGGAGCTAGAAACGCATCAAGCGAGTTCTCGACTCATCCGATGAGGACAGCCCGCCTGCTGTACCATTCAGTGACAATTTTTTGTCAAAGCTTTTTTTATTGATAGTACTATTCGGTGTTTTAGGGGTCATTTAATGATGTAATCATCGTAGACAGCCTTGAGTCAGTAAATTATATTTCATTTTTGATCAATTTTTTGTCAATATTTTAACTCACAACATTTGTAGAGCCCAACGAATGATGTATTTTTTAGGGCATTTGGTTTGAGCTGGCCCTTGTTTCTTAAATTCGCTGGTCAGTTTTTCTAAATAAAGAGAAGTTTTCCTAAATAAAAAGAGGAAATGTTCACTCAGTATGTATGAAATAAATAAATTACTTCATGGGCTGCGGGCTTGTACGGAATTTTCACACTCGTTGTTTCTATCAGAAATCGAACGAGCGAGCGCAGCGAGCGAGTGAGATTTCTGATACATCACCAACTCGTGCGAAAATCCCGCACGCGCCCCCTGCCCATGAAGTAATCTCTATTTCTGCAATTTTAGACAGCATATGTTGTTCCTTCATGTGATCTCTCAGAGTTTTAGAGCCTCTTTCTGCTTTTGCAACTCTATCGACAAATTCTCTACAAAAACTTGCATCTGCAGGTGTTCATAGCCCATCTCTTTCCATTTCCGAAACATAACATTCGGCAGCCCTCGTGTCTGTTTGTTCCATTTCCTCTCCACCTGCGCTTCTTTCTTACAACGTAATAGGTCTATTAATATTTGTGGAGTCCAATTCACTTTCCTTTTGCCCGAACTATTCATGTCAATTTATATTTCTTTCTTTCTTTTTCCTTTTAACTTCAGGTTAAATTTCACTCTCAAGAAGATTATCGCGCCGAATGCTTTTAGTTCTCGGGACATTTAGTTCTCGTTTCACAAAGTGGGTAGACCTGCAAGGTTATATTACGCGTAATCATGCATAGACGCGCTATGAAAGCGCTTCAACCATTGGTTGACGAGAATGAACGACGATGCTCATTAATATGAGATTAAGATGGTAAACCTGGCGTGAGCTGCGAGGTGCTCCTACTCAAACGACAAGCCACTCTGCAAAGTTTTAATCACGTACTTTTCTCGCTCATTGATCACGTACTGTTATTTATTCTATCATGCATGCGAATATTACTAAATTGGTAGATACATTTCGTTTTAATTGCGATACGTATGCTCATGCACGTGATCCCCGTCAGCCAGTGACAATCGGATTTATAACAAGAGAAACTGAGGGAGTATAAGAAAATGAATTATAATGTAATCTATATAAAATAAAATCCAAGAAAAGTTATTGCTTCGAGGAAATAAGAGCCATAATAACGTAAATACACTTACAGTATGGCATAGTATTCGCGCATTTTCTTAGATAATTGCCAATTGTTTCTTAGACAACAGTGTTGCAAGTTATAAGCACTGCCGATCGTAAAGTGTAGATTTTTCTTCCGTTAATTATTGCCCAAATCAAACACTAGATTCTGTATTGCTGCGCGTCTTCAATTACACATCTCTGAAGACAAAACAATGTGGTAAGAGCACCAAAAGCAAACTATGAGCCGAACTTTTTTTTTCCTTTCGTTATTCACCACATTTCGGTGTGATCCTATAACTGAACAGAGGCATACATTATCAGTTGGTAATTATTTTTAATACCTGGCTTCTTTTATGTCGAAGCCAATGAAGCAAATCTCCATGAGCGATATACTCTATCATGAGAAGGATTGGTTTAGTTGTGGTCCAACATCCAAAGAAACTCAGAACATTTTGATGTTTTCCAACCTTCTTCATGAGCACGATTTCATCCATAAATTCCTTTCTCTCTTCTTCGTTGGCGTTTTCTGGCGACAAAAAGGATAGTTGGGTACAAGAAAGAAAAAAAAAATAGCTATCACCATAAACTTCGTCTTCCTTAAAAGTGAAATTCTGTAAAGATATCTTTGTTGGGGCAAAGATATATCGTCCTTGGATCTCTTGGTCGGTAGCCCACTTAATGATTTTTACTGTTACACATCCACATTAATTCACAATGTGAGCTTTAATGCCACATTATTTTTCATGCATCGTTAATTTATTATTAAGTGCCTTTTGGACAGGTGACCGGCCTTTATTTCTGGAAACGACGCTGGTGGTAAATAAATGCTGAACGTCACATTGCAACAAGAACCGAAAATTCTGAATTTTCAAAGTTAAACTCACCAAAAAGTTCTTTGACTGCAATAATTTTCTGCTTTCTAGGCCTCCTAGGCCAGTCTCGGTCGTCTTCAAAGTATGCCATACCGTCTTTTAGTGTCGCTTTGTGAACTTTACCAAATGCTCCTTCACCCACCAATTCAAGAAATTCTGTTCTGATTGGAGGAATTTCACAACCGTCCAAAACTTGGATGTCCTTTGCAGTCCTATAATGTTTAAAAACAATAGCCTCTAAGCCTCTCCACAACGGCTACCTTGGGGACAGTAGAAAGTGGCCTTTGAAGACAGATGGCCGTTGTAGAGAGGTTTAAACAAGAGTCAATGTATGGACTGTCCTCCGAAAAAAGTGGCCGTACTAGAGAGGTGACCGTTGTGGAGAGGTGGCTGTTATTGGAGGTAGGACTGTATTTCAAGTTCTAGAACGCTCATTTAATCAAATGGAAAAATTTTGCCGAACAAAACTTATGTATCGCTAGATAACCAGATTTCCTTACTCGTGGCGTTCCGAAGCGCAGCTTCACCCTAATGAGCTCTACTGCAATTATGTAGAATACAAAAGATTTGTTCTAAAGGCCTAACACGTCAAAAGAGACTACACGGCTCAGGTGGACGCACATATACCGGTATTTTGGGTATATATTGGATCTTTTGAAATAAAGGAAAAGAGGAATTTTTAAAGCATATTGTACCTACATACCTCTTAGTGGATTGGTTTCCTTTCTTTCCGTATCGATTGATGCACACTGCCACAAGTACAGCTCCCAGGATTGTAAGTAAACCGGCGAAGATATAGATGAGAATAAATTCCAGAGAAATACCTGTAATTTTAAATATAACAATTTTTTGCTTTCAGTATCTACATTAACTGCTATGAGATCGACTATTCTGATTCTTGATGTTTGAGTTTCAATTGTCTGGTTGTAGTTTCGTTTCCCCCAGGGCATCTCATCTTTAATTTTTTTTTTTTTTTTTTTATTTTACTTTTTTAAAATCAACAGCTTATTTTTGGAACATCGCGGTGTGTCTTAGTATTGACCGCGAGAACTCCAGAAGATGCTGTCATGCTATACCACTCGGGCCTGGCCCCGATGTGTAACGAGATAACAAATTATGGAGAATTTTGAAGGAAAACGTTGCGATCATTACACAGGACATTAAAACCCAAATACAAACTATAGACCTCTTTACGGTTGTGAGGGTATGGTGGATAATCAGAACAAGATGGCGGGGAATTCAAAAGTTTGTACGAGAATTCAAAGTCAACTAATTCTTCCTAATTGATTATATTCGTCACTTTCTCTTTGCAAGCTTTAACTGACAAACTTTAACTTGTAAACTAAATGTGGAGCGTACAGAAGTCCTTTGTCTCTTTTTAGAAAATTTGACGTCTTCCGTACATTTTCTGTTTTTTTTGTGTTGTCAGATTACAGAAAATGCATGGAAGAACTCAGGTTTTCTAAAATGCAACAAGACTGCTATGCATTCCAGATTTAGTGTGTAGTTTCTTTAAGCTCATTAGTTACAATTTTTAAAGGGAAAGTGACAAATGTATTCAATAAGAGAGAAATAAAAGACTAATTGTATTCTTATACAAACTTCTGATTTTTTCACCATCTTGTCCTGATTACACAGCATGTCCTCGCAACCGTAAATGGGTCTGTTGCAGTATGTCCTTGACAAAGAATAGCGTTACAACTTTCTTTGGACTGTATTTATTCTTTTGTATAGTTAATTCAATCTTTCAATAGTGTTGCACTAGATAGATGATCAATCAATAAGTGTCGTCCTAAATACACGTCTAATAGAGTAAAAAATAAGCAGAATCATTCTGTAAGTATTTTCTTTCGATAGACTAAAACACTCAAACACCTTCTATATGTATGGAGTGTTTTCACTCATGTGCCCAGAATCTATGCAAATAATTGGAGCAAAAGCAAGCGTTTACACAAGAAAAGTCAGTTTAATTCCCGCAAGATTGGTTGGAACACCTTCATGGCTGCCGTTTTGTTCTTTTGGAATTTCAATATGACCGCAGTGAAGTCATGTCAAAACGCCCTATACAATGTATAACAACAACCACCTGCACATTGTATGTACATATACCTCTTCCATTATTCTTTATTGCACTCCCTTTCGTAGTGTACGTTTTAGTGGTAATGGGGCTCGGTCCTACGTCATTCCACGCCAAGACCTGGAACTCATATTCCGTAGAACAGTCTGTCTTGATCTTCTCGCGATCGGTATTTCTCTCTGTAATGTTCAATCTGGTCCACTCATTTTCACCTTGTCGTCTGTAGCTTATTGTATGAAATAATACAGGACAGTCACTTGATGATGGTTCCAGGAGCCATCGTACAAAGACAGCACAATCATTTTCATTTTCGCTCGATATAACGTCGAACACGGGCGTGTTAGGGACACCTATAAAACACGACATAACAATAAGAAGACGAGAACATGTATTATCCTATAGCTAATAAAACATTCCAACCTATATCTTATAGCCAAATTCATTGTATCACGCTGCACGCTTTGCAAACTTCGAAGGAATTTTGGGTTTTCCGTTTTCGTCAATCACCGTAGCGGACCTCTTAGGAAACATATGTTTACTTGTGATTAGTGTATTTCGATCCACTTTCAGTTGTTTGTTTCTGACTAGTTTTCTTCGAAGATTTTTCTGATCTTTCTTATTCTTGTCTTTCGCAAGAATAAATTAAGCAATGTCTGCCCCTGCCCTCTACAAAAAGTCGACTCATTATCCCGATTTCCTTCGCTATTCTTGAGCAGTCTAGAGTCATTCTCAGTTTTGTTTTTGAGGGCCAAGCTGGGCGAGTGCGTTGCATCGCGATTTGCAATAACTCCACCCCCACTCAAATGATTGACGGAACAGAAAAACCCCTTCGAAAATACAACGAATTTGGCTATAAAGCGTGTGGGTATCTTGTTGTTTTTGTAGTTATTAATTTTTGTTATTAAATCATAATTTCTGGTTAAGGTATTTAATCTTATCAGTTAGTAATTCAAATATAAATTTGTTTAATTTAATTTTTGGCCTAATTTTACCCGTAGGATATCTGAAAACTAGCCGCATGGCTGAGCATATTTACAAAGTACATTTATAAATAAAGTGTAAATGTGTATGTTGTTGTCGGTGTCAAAGCAACTGCAGATCCAGAGTGGCTCTTCGCTACTATTCTTAAACAAATCCTTGAGAAAGTAGAAGCTTCCTAGCCTCAAATCTAGTAAGCTACCAGCTGTAGTTAGGACCAGAACTGTTTGCACTATGACTAAAAGCTATACAGATGAATCCCGATAACTCGAACCCTCGCTAACTCGAACCAAACTCGATTTCCCCTGGATTTCTTTCATACTTTTACTGTAATTTTACCCCTCGATAACTCGAACCTCCCGCTAACTCGAATTAATTTTTGTCTCCCCTCAGATCATTTCTATAATTTTACACTCGATAACTCGAACCATGTTTTGAGCGCTTGAAAAGTCGAAAAAAAAAACCAGTGTACTGGCGTCCGAAACATTGAATTTTGAATTTCCCATTGACGTGTTGTAGACGTATAGTTTAGAAGCGATGGCTGACGTTGTTTGTCACAAGTCTAACGTATAACAGCTTTACTTCTCAAAACAGTAAACGCATAGTCTAGTTAGGCTATGTTTTGTTACGTTCTGATTTATAATCTAGAAGTATCTTTAATTTTCACCTACCATTTCTACAACTAAATGTGATTAAAATGTTCACTGTACGGTAAAAACGAATTGTTCCCTTACTTCCGGCTATTTGCTTCCAGCTCCCGATAACTCGAACTCCAGATAACTTGAACTTTTTTCGATTTCCCTTGAAGGTTCGAGTTATCGGGAGGCGACTGTATAACGAAAAGCTCTTTAAGCGACCGCCTCTGGTCTTTTTCTTTGATGTTAAGTTCTCATAAGCGACTACTCATTCAACACTTGAATAAGACCATGTGATCAAACTTTGGGTAATACATAACATAAACCGGCTCTAATATCCCATTAAATTTGAAAAAAAGAATGTATGGGTAAGTAATAACATATACCAACCTACCTTTCTGTTAAACGTTCTCTTAAGTGACCGTCCCTAATAGGCTTATCACATGGTTGCTTTGATAAGAGATTCCAATTCTATTTTAGTAAACGAATCCAGCCCTAGGGGTGCGAGGAATTTTGCGAATTACAAAGGTGGTCGCTTACGAGAGTTTCGTCTGTAATTGAGATGGACTAAACAACCTCACAACCCACGAGATTAATTTAAACTTGGAGAGACAGTCATGGGATCCGGATTCGGTTTGACGAATTGGGTCACACTTGACAAATTTTCGTCACAAATCACCTGCTTGAATCGTGGATACTTTTGACACCTCAGAAGGCCAGCCATATCCCATTTCGTTCTTCGCCATTACTCTTACATGGTACTCGCTATTTGGCTTAAGATGGGTAAATAGACATGACTGAGTTGACTGAGAAACGTTTTTTGTTGTCCATTGTTCTTCCGAACTGGCCGCTTTTATCTCTGCAAGGTACCCTGTCACCATTCCTCCCTCGGCGTCATGTGATGGTGGACTCCAGGTTAAGTTTATAGAGCTACAGCCTCGTTTTAAATCCGAATGCTTAACGGGATATGGAACATCTATCAAAAGTGAAAGCAGTTTTAGTATAAATAAACAAAAATAAAATAAAACCTTGCAGAAAAAGAGCAGAGATCGTTTAGATCAGCAAAATACAACTGCGCTCTAAGCTAAGAAAATTGTATGGTATAATTAATTTTAAGATTTATACGGTGAGAGAAATTACGAAAGCATTAAAATCTTTAACCAATTCCATTGAGGTTTCCTGCTAACAGTTTAACTAACCTTAGCCTTTGGCTTCTAAAAAGTCTCAATAAGGTTATGGTGCTTTAATTGCCCCAACCTTAAAAAAGCTTTTTTCCTGTTATTATGAAGATTCACTCTTAGCAAGAAAGTTTTGCTTATTAGACATTCATGCCTTACTTGCTTACTAGGACCCATGCTATGCGTTTTATCACATAGAGTAAGGTTTTTTTTAGTGTCATTGCAATTGGCCGATACGAATTTGAATTGAAATTCAGGTGGTGTAAGGAACATCGCAAACTATTTATCAAAGGAAAAGTTTTCTTCCCAAAATACTCTAATAAGCTAAAATTCCATGTGGGATAAGAATTTGGTGGCATCTGGTCGGTTTTTGAAAACATGACGGCCGCACACTCTCAAACACACAAGTCCAAGAAGCAACACAATATCGCTCTATATATGAATTATTTAACCAAAGAAACTATGTTTACATTGTGCTGTTCTCACTTCCCATGCTGTGCTTGCCTTACTGCGTCCCAGGTTATTCCAAGCAAAGATAATTACTTCATACTTCTTGCTATGTTGAAATTCAAGCTCGAAACTTGTTAAACTGGCGTTGGTGATATTTATTTCCGTTATTTTCTCGGTGGTTGGTTGAACTGCTCTGTAGCGCAATGAATACATGGTGATGCTGCAGTTTCTTTCTTTTGGGCGTGTCCACTGCACTGTTATATTAGGTGTTATTCCAGGAATTTCTGTTTCATTGTTTATTATTTTCGAAGCATCAGGTTTTCCTATAATGAACTAATAAATTAATAATCTCCACAAAATATAAAGATGTTTGTCAATGATCGCATGAAGACAAATCAATTAACTGGTATAAAAGTTAAAGCAAAGGAGTAAACGTATAAATGAACACTAACCTGAGATCAGGCCCAATTTGAGCGGTTCTCATACATTCTCTCTCTAACGGCTACCGCTAAAATTGGGCCTGATCCAAACTCATTCACGTTTGTGCTCGTTACGGCCAGATTTTGGCCGTAACGCTGATTGGCTGTTAGAACAATGCCACAAGATCTGATTTGGCTGTCGGAAACGCCTGAAGTTGAAAGCGCTTATTCCTCGCGTGGTTGTTTTCGTGAATGGTCCGTCGTCGGCGGAGAGAAGGATCGATTTTGCTGCCTTTTTCATTGTTTTATGGTCTTATGGTAGGAAAATATGCCTTAATATGTGCCATGGAAATTCAGAAAATTCATATGGTTGTTCATACCTTCTCAGGATTTGCTTTATTTACGGAAAGTGAGTGTATCGCGGAGTTGAATCCCTCTGCAACTTGTTGACCGCTAACAAGGTGCCTTTTGATTTACCGACAAACGGGTGCAAATCAAAATCTTGTCCATCTTAAAACTGGTTTCATTTGAAAGTTTAGCCGGGAATGACTTCTCTGAACAGGGTACGCAAGCGGAGGCTCACTGCGAACGCAACCTCAATCGCCAACTGTGAAGTATTAGACGAAAAATATCGCATCGCTGTTCAAGGAATTTTCAATGTTAACAGACTGGTTGTTTGCCTTCGCTTTTTGTTAAAAAATAAACCAGGAAAACTCGCTCGCTCGTTGGCTGTTTACTTTTGTTTTTAAAGATTTATGTTCTTAAAATCGGGGGAAATTGCCGAGGAAAATATTAAGGCAACGGAAAAATAGAAATTTCAGTATTTTAAATTCGAGCGCGCCTAGCCAAAATAATAAAACTAGTAGAACATCGTGTCGCCGTCTTTTCGAAAACTTTTTACCTTCTACGCCAACAGAAATAACCTTCGAGAACTACTTCAAGTGTTGCTTAATCTCGCAAGAAGTTAAAGGTGATTGTGCTGACTGTTTTATTTTTAGCTGGAAAAACTTAACAGATAAAAGCTATTTTTTAAGTCAGCCAGTCTGCATATTTTCCACGCGTAAAAAATTTGCATACTACAAAAACAAGCAACGGAAGTAATTTTGGTTGGCTGATTCTGCAAATGTCAATCAATCAAAAAAGTGGGCGGCAGACGTTTCGTAGAAGGTTTGTATCAGGCTCTCTTTTCGTTTCGCCACGCCCATCGGAATGTTATTTACAAAGCGAAACGAAAATAGAGCCTGATCTCAGGTTAAATGAACACTTTCAAAGGTTACATGTGTAATACAACAGTATTAACATGAAAGACTTGCCAATCAAATCCGTTCTTTTTATAGTGTATACCCATTGGCCCGGGCCCTTCTTATTAAAAGCACGGACTCGAATTTCATAAGCGGTTTCACTACACAGGTCTGTGAATAAACAGCTATGACGTGAAAGGAAGGCCGTGCAGTTGCGCCAGCTACCACTGTCCTTTTTCCGTAACTGAGCCTGATAGTCAGTGGGAGGACCGCCACCAGAGTCTAAGGATGGTCGCTTCCAAGTGACTTCAAATACTCCACACGGTATTTTTTTGACGCCAGGAGATTCCTGCTTGAGCGGAACGCCTATGATGAAATGAGTGAGCGCTTTTATATTGAAACATCAATGAAACGTGCCATTGGTGTGAGTTAATTAAGCCAAAAGTAACATATGATAAATTGGTCAGTGTAAAACGCAGACTGCAGACTGAGGACCAGGGGTAATATGGAGACTGAGAGTAAAATGCAGGCTAGGGGTAAAATGCAGAATTAAGATCGACTGCACACTTTTTAAACATTTGTGCTCCTCCTTCTCCAAATAAGTGAATTATAGCCTGCAGAGCAGGTTCCGTTTTATCGTATTGAATCATTTTTTGACTCACCCCAACTCTTGGTAAGTCGAAAGTCCAAATCGATCGCACAGCAAAATACGCCTGCTTTGCAGGCTAGGTGAATTAGCTAGCTGGTATCAGTTACACACCTCGCTTCCTTGTCGAAGTACATTGCGCATTCGCCAGAAGTTTCAATGAACGTTCGAACAGCTTACGTCCGCCTACCTTGATTTGCAATACTTTCCTAGAAGGTCATCCAAATTTCCTGCAGAAGATCTTTCTTTGTTGTTGGAATGATTTTAATTACTCCCATTTTTATCGCCATCATTCTTTCTGTACAGTATTTTGGGTCAGCTGCTTTTACGGTCACTTGTATCGAAACCTGGAGCGTGAGGTCTCTCGGACAATGGATAATAGAAAGTAAAGTCTATTATCTATGCTCGGACGAAAAAAAAAGGTTCAAGGTTTGGATCGTCGACGAAGTTCCAGAGAAGAATGAATGGATTTGTGAAAGCAGATATATGTCGTCAAGTAAGTGTTTGTTTACATGTATTTTGCGGGATTTTATTTGCCCTTATTTGCCCTTAAACCCTTCCGCGACTACAGTTTATGCTCGGTCCGCATTTTACCCAGCCTGCGTTTTACTCTCAGTCTGTAGTCTGCATTTTACACCCAGTCTGCATTTTACCCCTGGTCCACAGTCTACAGTCCGCAGTTCGCAGTCTTCGTTGTACACTGACCGTATGATAAATTGTCCGTCTTTCTCATTAAATGAAATTCTAAAATCTTCAAACCGAATCTTATTGGTTCTTGACGCGGTCCGTATTTTTCTATCTTAGCCTACTGTTATAATGACTTTATTTTTTAATGGGGGCCGTGATTTGACCAGTGATGGCGTGTCTTTGAAAAAGCCAGAAAATATTTGTTGTCGCAGGTTTTAATATGTTAATTGCTGTATAATCTGACTTTGTAGGGGTGGTTCTCACCGAACCCGTTCCAAAATACGCCGGCACAGGTTAATAGCCAGGCTAGTAAGGCTGCCGATAAAGGCAGGGCGCAACCTTTCGAGTGTAAAAGCTCACTTACAACACCGGCAGAAGGTCCAGGATACTGCCAATCTAAGCAAATTTTTGACTTGCATAAGTCACTATCTTATGAGGAAGTATTCCGTATAAACTGACCTTAGTGTACTTTGAAACTGTTTAGCCCGGCCCAGGCCTGGGCCAACAAAGACCTGGCATAATAGCTTAAAGAAACATGTACTAAACTCCAACAATCGTGCATAACGGTAAAAGAAACAAACAAACAAACACACAGACAGACAGACAGACAGACAGACAGACAAACAGAGAAAACGTCAAAGAATCAGTGAGAAACGTCGTTTCATTCTCAGTGGTCGAAATCTTTATAAAGCACTGCGGTTTATAAACATTTAACTCTAATACCTTCTCCTGTTGTCACGTTCAGCGCGGGTTTGGTATCTTTTATGCTGCTTCCACGTTCATTCCATGCCAAGACCATGATTTCGTAGGTGCTGCTGCAGTTCAGCTTAAGACGATATTTGGTTTTGTTTGGCGCTCTGAAGCTTGTTGTTTGCCACTTTGTCAACTGATTAGGTTGCCTGAAGTGAACGGTGTATCGAGTTATCGGGCAAGAATTATATGAAGGAGTCTTCCACGAAAGAGCTACGTAACAACCTTGGGGCTCGGCTGATACTTCAAATGAAGTAGGTACACCTAAAAAGAAAATATTTCAAGACTATGCACACCTCTTGAGGAGTAAAATACTCGTAAATTGGAAATTGCAGCCACATAAGAAATCACTTATGTGACTTCAACACTGCTTTCAGTTGTGAAAAGAAATTCCTATAGATAGATCTCCATCAATCGGTGATGAAAAAAAAATAAATAAATAAATGATAAAATATGTAATATCAACACTCTCTTGCGGATATGCCAATACAACCTACAGTTAATTGGTACCTGCAATCTGGCCGCGTACCATCATGAGATCCTTGGAAGGAACGTCCAAGACAAAAGAGCTAAACCCTTTATAACATGATAATTTCTGGAACATGTGACGTCGAGCATTTAGTAACTTTACAAGAAAAAGCCTTTTGTGGATTGGCTGAAATCTCTCAACCGACCTAGCCTTGATCAAATTTGAAAAACATATGCGATATCCGAAAAATGACGACGTACAATAGTCAAGTTACCTCCAGAAAAGGGATGGCGACCGATAATCCCTGAGGACGAGGTTGCGTTATTTTGGTAGAGCAAGACGAAAAGGCTTAACAGTTCACAGGTTTCGCGAAGAAATAGCCGAACTTTACTTTATCTTACAATGCGACTGTGGTCGTTGTTGTTGTCAATGTTACAACGGTAAGTGGAGGATTTGTAATTTATAATAATTCGCCAGCAATAAATATGATGCGAGCTTCAGCTATGTTGTCCTCGTTTTTAGCGCAGACAAGATAAGTATGATAAACTACGACTAAGCCGGACAGTCACATATTAAGATAGTATAATGACTTTTTGTACAATTTAAGGTGGCTCGACTATTTTTTTTAGGGAGTATACACTTCCCCACTTTGAGAGTTTACCACACCGGCATTAACAAAGATATAGGAAAAAGGTTACCACAGCTGTGCTATATAAAGAAGAGCCTTTGTTATGATCCATGTTTTATTGACATAATGGCGTCATAATACCATTTTTACTTTTTGGATTTTTTTGGATTTTTTTTTGTCAGAAACCGCTTAAGGGAGCTTGTTTCTCCCATAGATATCTCTCAATTATGGCAAAATTTGAACAAAATTATATTTTGAAACAAAGTTTTAATTTGGTCCACGCCTACAAATTTTGATCCCCCATTAAAATACATTTCTTGATTTCAGTGTTCGTGAGTCTTGGAGGCGATATAAATTGTGATTATGATTCTCAGGATTGTCAATTTTTGCAAAAAAATTAAAACGGTTTTTAAATTACCTTGAAATTTGTAGGTTTGGACCAAATTACATACAAAATGGTAAAGAAACTCAGCCGACTGTACTAGGCTACCTTATTTATTCGATTAAACGCCGCGGCGTTTATTAAATTTTTAAAGTTTCCGATGCGACGTTTATTCAAGGGCGGCGTTTATTTCGAAGTCACATTTTTTAAATCAATTAGTTTTGATATAACAGTTATTGTAAATCGTTTGTAAACATTATGTACATGTCTCTCCTTTTTTGCTGAGATAGAATCGTCAATGTCTGGGGTCAAATACAAGTGTAATTTACTAGTGTAGCTATTATTTTCAGACTCTAAAACAATGACTACACTTAAATTGCACTTGTAAAAGTTTTATTTAATTGACCCCTGGATGGTGTAAATTACCAAGTTGTACCGAGGTTTTTCTTATTACCCTCGAGTAAACGCCGCATTCTTCTGATTAGGTCTGGCGTTTAATCGAGGGCGGTGTTTAATCGAATAAATACGGTAATCAAATTTTCGAAATCGGCTAAAGCAATCCCGACTTTTTTCGTGCACAGTTTCAAATGGAATTAAACCAGTATGAGATGAAATTGCATTTCCAGACCTTATCATTTTCTTTAAATATTAGCCGGCAATTATGTCGATAGCATGTTTATTCACTGTTTTCATGATCCTTTTAAAAAACTTTGTTTCCAAAAATATTTCCAAAACGCTATCATAGAATTATTTTGTTCAAACTTAACCATGATTGAGGCAACTAAGAGAGGCACAAGCTCCCTTTAATGAATTTCCGAGAAAAGAATACCTAGTATACCGAAAAATATAAGGACAAGTAAAAAACTAGACTACGTGCATGTAGTCCCCATTTTTCCTCAGGGATAGTAGAGCGAGCGAAACGTGAGCGCGCGTGAAAATCACCCCACGCGAGAAAGGCGAGATGCGATAGGGAGAGGGAAAAATGAGGGACTACAGACAAAGCCCAAGCTTTTGACCCTTCACGACCGACTGATTTTGGAGTGTGAAGTTCGTATCCCCTTCCAAATCAATTCAGCGCATCCAATGGGATCCTTCTCTCATTGAGATGTCATTGCTCTTGTCATCGGTAAGCTCCCGGGGATATTTATTGCAAGTAAAAGGAAACCCAGATACTAATTTTCTTCGCGGCTGCGTCGCGTAAAGAACTTGATAGTGCAAAAAGCCAAAATGCTGCTTGTTCCAGTGAATTTTTTTTTTCTCTGACGGGAAAACGGTTTGACTTAGCAAATGTGATTTTTGCCGCTTAATTCATACGAGAGGTTGTTCTGTTGCACATTGTAATAATCGTCGCACTTTGTAATACCTATCGCCTTTGTAATATTATACTACTACGTGAGAAATTTGTGCAATTTGATTGGTTTAGGGCAGTGGTATTTTCGCTTTGAAATCAATTTGTAATACCTACATGTGAAAATTACAAACCGTTAGCGGGACGTGATATTTAGCATAAATCAGGGACCGCGCAGAGGGAGGGGCTGGGGGGGCTTTAGCCCCCCCACTTTTTTGCAAGAATAAAAATGAATTAAACAAAAAATAATTTAACAAAAGTAACGGAGTGAAAAATAGCAATGAAAATCGTTAATTCGAAAGTGACCAGAGTTACTGGCAATAGACAGAATGAAGCATTAGTCGTTACAATTGTAAAATATTTTTTCGCTTCTAACCTAGCAGAGGTAAACGTCTTTTAAATGGCTTCTTTTTTCCTGCGGACCTCTCAGGAAAACGTGTTGTTTCGTAATTGGTCAATTTCGATCCAAAGTAATAACTGGGTTTATAAC